TGTGTGGGGGGGGGGGGGGGGATGGAGGAATGCATATACAGTTAACGACTCCCAATGGAAAAAGAAATGAAGCCTCTCAACTGATGCAACTGTTGAAATCATCCTCTCTTAGTAACTAAATTTACCTGAAAATAATGAAGGCGGGGCAGCAAAGATTTAATTGTGTTTCTGTTGTGTTGTGGATGTATATCAGCAATTTCTTCATCACTCATTATGGTCATCTGTTGGAACAACTCCATGATATTTGCGCCCATATAGGTATCGGGCCCGTACCATATGTTTAAGTTAGGTACTTGTGCAAACGCCTGGAACAATACAAGATGGCAGCTAAAAATTAATTAAAATAAAATTTTGAAGTAGTGGGGCATAGACTGCAGTAGTACAAGAATATCACAAACCTGTAGAATGGTTGGCACAACATTAGAAGACGTACAGGTTATTGTTGGAACAACTTCATGAGAATATGCTTTGGTCTCAAGTGAAGTATTTATATACACCACATGCAAAGAGGGGGAGGAAATGGAAGCTGCAGCCTTCGAAAGATAATCCATATATGCAGGACTGGCTGCAGCATCAGCCAAGGAGCAACTAATGCGTTCATTCGACATCCTATACACTCCTACCTGAAAAAAGGTCATTGTCAATTGCGGAACTAAACTACAAATTTATTATTACACCACTAAGTAGAAATAGCAGCATTAAATGGACAAAAAAACAAAAAAAAAGCAACTGGTAAATTTATGAAAAAATAAAGATGGCTACCTTATTGTAAAATACTAGGTTATCTATAATTCCAACCACTTATATGATTTAGAGCATGATTGACCATAAACCAACCTTTGGCAATGTAATAGTGAAGAAGTTGCAAAAGTAAGAAATAAAAAGGAGGCATTTTGTAACAAATATAATATACAAATGAAAAGAACAGGGTGTTCAAATTGTGGAAGTTAAGATGTCCTTCAACTCTGTTTCGAGAATATGGGTCATTAAATTACTGGAAAACTCTACTCCAATCTAATTTCAATTATATTAACTAGTCAGCAAATTCCGTGATGAGCAGTGGTAAGCAATCATGTGACAGTTCCATAAGTTGACTCATGCATCAAGATCACTTCTGTTAGCACAGTCACATATAGTAAGGACCAAACTGATATTTTTCTTTGGTCAATAGCAAAAAGGCGGTACCTCAGTATATCCAGCCTGATCAAGGATTGCTCGAACATTTTCAGACATAAAATCTACACCTAGAACAGTGATGAATTTGCATCCAGCTTTAGCCATTTTGACAGCTGAATCTGCCATAACTAATGAATCAGATATATGGATATGAGGCCAGAGCTTCTGTGCAGCAGTTAAAACTCCTTGGACCTCAGGGTCCATGTAGAAATGTGCAACTACACCAATTTTCTTCTCCTCGAGCAGATTTGCAAGCTCTTCAACTTTTACTTCGTTAGGGGACAAAAATCTCGCCTGCAATTTCACTAAATGGAACTTAGAGATAATAAGATATACTATACCTCACGAGCATGCTAACAATACCATGACGGATTGTAATGCTGTTCCAAGTCAACGACAATTTACATAAGTCATTAAAGATTAAAGACACTAGAATGATGTTTTAGAAGTTAATCACATTTCTTGAAAGTAAACCAACTTTCATTCACATGAATGGATTAGCGATGTCCAAAAGCCCTCAACATAAATTTAAATGAAACAATCTTGAATCAAAATGCAACATTTTTTCTCTATACTAATGTTCAATAAACATTCTTTTTCCAAAATCTATGGAGAAGGATAGGCTACTCAATTTCTTTTCTTCGAAATGACTTTAGTAGTCCCCTTAAACATATGGTGTAATGAGAACAATAGAAATCTCTCCTTCACTTCTAAAAAAATATCATTTCCAACTCACTTATCACCCAAAGGAAAGGGCATCCATTTATAATTACTTTAAGCAATATTTTCCAAATTTAACTTAAAACCAAAAAGCATTAACCAAAATTGTTTTCTCATACACCTTATGCCATCTTCCTAAGCTTAACAACTCCCCTTTTTTTACCTAATTGCGTCTTAACTTCTTCAACTTAAAGAGCGAAAATTCTAATCTTCTCAGTTCCTATGATATTCAACCATCATTTGGGATTTCCTTGTAATTTGTCAACCATTTTCCACTTAAACTTATTCATCAAAGAATTATTCCCTGAAGGCTTCTTCTTACACTAAAACACCAATCAGAAACAATCCCAACAATTCCTAAACTATTATACACTACTGCATCACCACAATACAACGTTAAGACAAAAAGACAAACAATAAAAATTGAAAATTTAAACATAAAAATCATAAAAGGATGAAATAAAAAGTCCACCTGAACTTCGGCATAGCTTCCTTTGGCTTGAATCCCATCAACATCCACAATCAGAGACGGGAATGGCTCACCACGTGGCCTACCCTCGCGCTCAGCAACCAATGCTTTGGTCCTCTTCTGCAAGCTAACCAACACATTGTGCCAAGTATTCGCCCTACTTTTCGTAGAAGAACCCCTTTTCCCATTCAAGCCCATCACATTAATTGCCTCCAAATCCTCTGTTTTCAGCGCCAACACCTCTTCCGGTTCGGCTCCATCGAGCAACCAAACCAAGCACGCACAGAAACCTTTAGTTATTTCCGAATCACTATCAGCCAAGAACCTCACTTTGTTATCATTACCGAGTGATACATGTAGCCACACCTGTGCAGTGCACCCCGGCACACGATTTTCAGTGGTTTTTAATGATTGTTCGGAAGGAGGTAATAGATTTCCATACTGTAACAACTTTTTAACACGGTCCACAGGTTCGAGAAGTGTTTCGAATTCTTGGATGAGAAGATGCAGCCTTGCCTCGGTGGTGGCTCTGGTGCCAGTGGCAGCCTCTGCAGTGGCTAGATTATCACTACCCGGGAGAGGCGATGTAACGGCAGAGCAAGAAAAGGGCGTTATAGAGGTTGGTTTCACAGAAAAACAAGAATTCAAACATGGGTTTCGTGTATAAATGCATCTGATAACAGGTTTCCTCACCGGATTAGATAAATGGTTGAATTTGGGTTTCGGAGAATTGTAAAACAAAGAAGAAGACACAGCTCTCATGGCTAATGTTCCCGAGTCCATATAACCTCGAAAAAAAAAAAAATTGTTCTTTCGTATAATCCCGTGAGTATTTTTGTTCGTGATTTCGTATAACAAGTGCCGAGAACGAAAAACACGGGATTCACTATGTGATGTGTGTGTGTGTGAGAGAGAGAGAGAGAGAGAGAGAGGTGGTTGAGTGGTGGAGGGAAGGGATTCAACGGCGGAATAAAGCGCTGGAATATATATGCAGAGGAAACTGGCAAGAAATGGGGGCCTTTGGAAAAGAGCAATAAAGGGTCCCAAAAAAGAATGGTGATAAATATACTGCGAGTAGAATACTATTTCTTTAAGATAGAATATTAATTGCTAGAATTTTGCTTTAGAAGTTTGATCTCATAAAATTAATATTAAAAATAGAATAATACTATCTAATATTAGTATTGTTAACAGTTTATGTGCCTTTACTTTACCGATTCAATTAAGTGATAAATTTATTATTTAATGTTATATAATTATCAGGGGTGGATACAGAGATTTTGAGTGAAGGGGCACAATCAAATTATGTACAAATTGAATACATTGTTTTTTTTTTTTTTAAATGATTTATATTTGATCCGAAAAATGTAGATTTAAATTTAAAAAACATTTCTTTATTAATATTTTGCCCATTATTTTCATCTATTTGATTTTGAACAGCTATTTCATTAATATTTTGCTCATCAGAAGAAAATATATATTTATATTTTAAAAAATTATGTATTCAATACAAACAATCAATGCTAGTAATCAAAAGGAAAAACATATAACCAATATTCATTACTAATAATCAGTCAAATAAACACAATTCATTAGATATACGTTAAATTTTATATAATCAGTTTAGATACGTGTTATATAAACAAATAAGATAGAAGAAAATGCAAATTTAGGTTCTATTTAGTTTGAAAATTCGATTGAAAAATGAGAATTTGTAGTAGATGTGATAATTGTAGAGAAAATATAAACAAATTTTAAAAAATTAGAAGGGTTAAGATTTTGATAAAAGGCGTGAGAGACAATACGAAAAAGCAATAAAAAGAGAGAAAACTCAAATTTATTATGATTTTGCCCATGTTTGGTGGGGAATAAAGTCGGATTTTTAGTAAATTTTGATAAAATTTTAAAATTTAAGAAATTCATGAAATATGTTATTAAAATTAATTGTTAACTTTGATTTATATTAAAATTTAGATTTCAATCGATACCAAACATGACTTAAAAAAAATAATTAAAAAAAAAAAACTCTCAAAAAATTAGGGGGTCAAGTGACCCCCCAAAACCCTCCTTGGGTCCGCCCATGGTAATTATCACATAAATTGATACTTAATATCATTGATGATGAATAATATTAATATAAAAAATATGGATTCAGAGTATAGATATGTCATCTTTATTTAAAGAAATAATATAGTGTGACGATCTTATATACATTTACTTTTAAGAAGAAATTATTTTGCTCATTAAATGTGTGTTCGGTGTAGATCCCATGATCTCGATTGGAAAAAATACTTTAGTGGGATAATTTTATATACATACGTGATGGGACCGTCTACTCAAATTATGATATATCAAAATCTCAGTCATTCAAGTCACAATTTTAGGAACGTGAATCCTTATGCCAACCCACTCTATTTTCCTCTCTTATCTACTCTAGGTCAAAGTGTAATGATATGAGTAGTTTGGAATTCGAAGTATCACGATTTGAGTGAACAGTTAGACCATGTGTGCATTTAGTAATCTCTCATTAAAGTTTTTCTTAGCTGTCCTCTTGATGGTCAAAATTGAGGTGTTAAAACTGTAGTTTAGATGGCAATGTGACATTAAATGGTAAATAAAAGTATAAATGAGTTACTTAATTTCATATTTTATTGAGTCTATCACATAACCACATGTGCTAGATAGCATTATTCTCCAATTAAAGGTAGAAGACTTTTGTTTAACCAATTCCAATCTTCTTATTAGGCATGAGATAAGTGAAGTGAAGGCGAGAAAATAGAAACTATTTATGGAATTTGGATATATGAAGGCAAAAACATGTCAAGGGTGAGATAATAAGAACAAGGGCAC